CAGGGAAAGCAGTGTTTAAAATCCATATTCATTCTCAACACAATGGTTGCCTAACTGCCAGGAAGTGGGTGGTTCTAGAGTTGTATAAAAACGGCTGAGATTCAAACATAGCTACTAAAGACAGCTGGATTGTAAACAAACATAGCTACTAGAAACTCTTTCATTTCTCCCAGAGCATAGAGTTAAATTCAGGTATTGGGAAGAAAGAGAGAAGAAGGAGTAGGGGAATGAGAGGAGGAAGTCCTAGGGAAAAGAAAAATGAGACTACACAAGATGAAATCAAAGACATAAAACATATTTTCTTCATTGCAGTTAGTCCAGTAATTCCTTTTATCAACTACAGTAGAACTATTATTAAAAATAGCATTTCGGCTTTGAGTGAACTCTGTGTTTGAATGAAAAAAACTAGAAGAATTTCTGGGCTCTACCAGCACAGTCTGAAAGTACCTGACTCTGGCTTTCCATATATTTACTGTATAACTTTGCCTCCCTTAAAGCCCCTCTCTCCTCACGGATTCTCCACATCTTTTCAGAGTTAGTTCCTGCTTTCCCGAGGTCCAATTTCCAAGAGGGAGAACATCTGACTGGACTTTTTTCTATCAGATTGAGTCAAGGTCTGCAGACACTTTGCAGCAGAGGCTGCTTTATTCCTCCAGGTGTTTACACGCGGTGTTTTTTTTTTTTTTTTTTTTTTTTTTGCAAAGTAGAATGCCCCTTCTACTAATGTTTGCTTGGAAACGCTTCTCTTTGGGAGTTGGTGCTAAGGTCATTGCACCTGTGAAGGCTTTCATTAGCACTTTTTGGAGAGGAGACAAGTGATCTTCTGGACTTAGACTTAAGGAATTCTAGAGGCTGACCCCCAACCCAGAAGGGGTTACTGTCAGTAGCAGCAAAGGGAAGTCTGGATTTCGGAGAAGTGATTAATATTAATCCAGTACTGGAGTTTCATAAACTCAAACACTACAAAGTCCTAATCCTGGGGGCGGGGGAATGGAGAGAATCCGCGGCTGCTCAGAGCTCTGGCAGCGTTTCCCGCCTCTTGCTGCTCTGGCCGGAAGCAGCTCCTCTCCCCCGACAGGCGCGGGAGTCAGCCGGAACCCAGTTGCGCGCCCGCTGGAAGCTCCCGCCCGGAAGACGCAGTTGTAGCGCCTGCGGCCGGCAACATGGCGCGATACGGGAATAAGGTAGCGAGGACCTTTGGGTCCTACCCATGCTGGAATCTGGAGAGGGTGATTCCTAGCATGAATTGCGGGGTGACAGCTGTGCCAAGTAGAGAGGCCAGAGGGAAGATCGCGGTGGTGGGCTGGATCTGGAATGCTGGGACTGAGAGGGCCTATCAAAAAAGCTGGGAATTTGAAGTCCAGAATTTGAATTATGTTAGCCCGGCACCCTTTGCATTTCCTTCTCCCTTTCTCTCTCCCCATCCGCCTCTCCTTTATAACTCGTAACCCACTCCGTTCCCAAACCTATGACCTCTGCTGCTTCTAAGCCCACAGGCTTGTTCTAAAACGTCAGGGAAAGATTTTGTGAGTAAAATAACTTGAAATGTAAAGCATGACGTTATTATCTCTATAATAATTTAATATTTTGAATTTACTGAAGAGTTACTTTGTATGAGGCACAGATCTAAATTTTTTTCCTTTTCCCGGTGAGTGTATATTGTCTCCAAGTTTGCAAATAGGGAGAGAGAGAGGCTTGGAGAGTTGCCTGGTCCTTAAGTGGTGGAATCCGGATTTGAACCCAAGCTGTTTTGTTTTCCAAGCCCTGGAGAGTTCTCTGTGTTGTTAAGAATATGACTTTTGGTGTCTCAGATTAATAATAAATTACAATGAATTAAAAAAAGATTTTTTGGTTACTAGATGAAGGTATGATTCCAGCAATTCATTCATCTGTTCATTGATTTATTCTTACTCGTATAACACAGATAAACAGGATAGAATTTTGAGCAGCAGGTTGCAAGTCCCCTTAACTCCCTGTTGAAAAATACTCATTGAAGTTATGAACTCAAAATTATTCTGCTCACCTCCTTTGTTCTTATTTCATCTGAAAAGTTTGTAGCTCCAGTGGAGGAGCTATTTGTGGCAGAGCAACCTGGAGTAAAATCCTGACAGCCTGTGTTGGTTCAGCGTAGAAGTGAAGTTGTTGCCATTTTTCTTTCCTGATTTTCTTACTGTGTTCAGAAAGGAACTCAAAGTAATGTGATTCTTCCAGACAAAATGTTTCAAATGTTGATGTACACACCTGTTTCCTTCCTGTACTGGAAATTGAAGCCAGGGCCTTTGCACTGAGCTATGTACATCCCTAGCCATAACATTGTTTCTTTAAAAGTTTGAGGCAGTATCTTGCAGAGTCACCCAAACTGAACTTGAACTTGTGGTCCTCCTGGTTTACTCTCCCAGAGTGCTGGAATTAGGGGCACTATGCGGGGCTGTGAAACTGATGCCATTTTCTGGATACCTGATTCTTGGCAAAAGATCTTTAGACCTCAAGTTTTCTGGTTTAAAAGTACATTTTGTGAACATGTATTAAATAAACTAAGCACTATACTTTTTTCTTTTAGATAGGGTCTCACTATGCAGTTCTGGTTGGTCTTGAGCTCACTTTGTAACCCAGGCTGGTCTCGAATTTACAATGACCCTCTTGCCTCCGCTTCCTGAGTGCGAGGATTACAGGCGTGCGCCATCATGCCCAGCCCCAGCGGTATACTTTCTGACTCTTAACTTTTTTAGGTTTTTATACATGGGACATTGAAACTATGGGGTGTAAATTTTATTGTTCTCAAAGGAATTTTGTAGTTTTTTTTACTACTTTTTTTCCATATAAGCTATCTTTAGATAATTTTTTAATGTTAGTGCATTATTTCCAATGCTTTATAAGATAGGTGAAGACAGTCTTTCCTTTTCATGTGTTGCAAAAGGTATAACTAAATTTGGAAATCATCTATAACTTCCTCTGACAGGATCTAATCTAGGTTTTTTTTTTTTTTTGTCTTTTTCATTTTTATTGGTACCAGGGATCAAACTCATGACCGCATACTTGCAAGGAAGGCGCTTATGCTGCTGAGCTAAATCCCCAGCCCCTTAATCTAGGTTTTTCAAACACTTCTCGGGTCATGTGATCACTGCTTCAGTAAAGTGATTTCTTTATTGATTGCTTCTAAATCCCCCTCGCCCCCTATGAAGTCAAACAAGTCTCACTGTAACTTGTATGTATTGAACATATTACTCTCCAGCAATCCTTTTTATAATACATTTGTCTAATATATAGGTGAGACTTATCAGATTCTTATTAATCTTCTTCTTTTTTTTTTTTTTTTTTTTTGGTACTGGGCATTGAATTTACGACCATGGGCTTGCAAGGCAGGCACTTATGCCGCTGAGCTAAATCCCCAGCCCATTAATCTTCTTAATATGGATCAGCCACCTAGTTTTTTCCATATGTTCTTTATGTCATGTCTTCAGACCCTTCCCAAAGCCATTCATATTCAATTGTACTTAATCTTACTCTTGTGATACTTGGAGTTGCTCATAATTTAATCCATATAAAGCACAAGTGAGACTGGGACTTGTGGGACAAGGCATGTAACTCTGAAAACAAACTTAAATCTCACCTGGTCTAGGAGTTTTCTGCCTCCTTGAATTAACATTAAGGTTAAGTAACAACATTATCAAGGACTGGAGCTAATTAGTAGAGATAGGACTAGAACCCATTTCTCAGAATCACTAGTTTAGTCTTTTATTTTTCTTTTTGTTTTTTGTTTTTGGTACCGGGGATCGAACTCATGACCTCATGCTTACTAGGCACTTAAGCCACTGAGCTAAACCCCCAGACCCCCTAGTCTTTTATTTTTACAAGCCCTTTTTTTCTTGAATTTATTTACAATCTAAGGTATTTGAGGAGATGCAGTGAGGTACATGTGGGGAATGTCGTGCCAAAACTATCTTCTATTTACTCATTTTATTTAAAAAATAAACATGATGCAGAATTTCAAAAAGAACCCAGTAAATTAACACTAGTGAATATATTGCATATTATCTTAATGTTTACTCTTTTTTTTTTTTTTGGGTACGAGGGAATCGAACTCAGTACCTTATACTTAGTAGGCACATGTTTGTTTGGCCCCAATATTTATTCATTTTATAATCCACTCTAAAATAATGAGTTGCTTTTAGTTCAGATCTCCTACAACTTGTATTCAGTTACATTTTGGATGCCATACATAGAGCGTAGAACTGCCTCTGTATGTTTTTTACTTTTAGTTAGTTTAACCTCTTATGTCATTAGTCTCCTACATCTCCTACGTCTTTTCAAGCATTAGATTTAAGAAGCATTTTCTGCCTTACCTCTCTTTTGTCCTCACTACCAGTCTGGGTAGATGTTTCTCTGGTGTCTCATAGTGCAAACTTGTCATGTAATGTTGTGCTGGTATTGTTTATTATGTGTTTATTTCCTCTACTAGAATAGAGGTAGTATCTTAGTTTTTATTTCAGTTGTCAGTTTACAAACTGATTCAAATTGTTGGGGTATACCATCTTAGCATATATAGATTGAAGTAATAACCTATTGCCACAAAAATGCTTTGTAACAAACCACATGCTACCGTATTTGGTGATTTACAACCCTAGCATCTCCTTTCAGGCTGGTAGGTCTGCAGTTCATCTTTAAGCATGTTGGCTCGGTGGGACTGGAGTTAGCTATAGTGTGTGGGTTCATTTCAGGTCTACTCCAGTTCTGTTCTGGAACTCAAGTGAAGAAATGCCAACTGCCTGGCGCATGTTCCTCTCCTGGTGGGTAATTTCTTTTAGAGAGTCAGAACTCTTTAAGCCTTCGCCAAAGTGAAACTTTGCGATTTGCGTATGTTCTCTGTGTAGAATGTAGCCCTTCCCTTTATCAGGCCTCCCTTAAATCCCATTACAGGTTCTGTGAGTGCAGTAAGGAGGGAATCTTTTTTTTTAAATGATTGTTATTTTCTCATGTACTCTTTGGGGTTTTGTTTCTAGGCAGCTGTTGTGCTATGTGTGGATGTAGGCTTTGCCATGAGTAACTCTTTTCCTGGTGAAGAATCCCCATTTGAACAAGCAAAGAAGGTGATGACCATGTTTGTCCAGCGACAGGTAAGTTTCAGATTGACCTTCGTTTTGGAACCTATGTTTTAACTCCTTATTCCCTCTACCTGCGAATGTGTTAACACCAGCCTATTCATAATGTCCACACTGAGTGTTTGGGGAATCTGGGGCAATTTCTTACATGCATTTCCATAACAATCCACTTACCACTAGAGTATGATATTCCTTCCATTCTGGCCCTTTCACTGTGTATTATAGTTTTTAATTAGAAATGAGAGACAGTATAAAATAATGTTTAAACAAAGAACCTCTAAAACTAGTTGGGTTTGAATCTGTCTTTGCTGTGCGATGTCATTTCTAACCCCATGCATAGTCTTGAGCAAGTCCTTCAACTTCATACCTGGTCCAGTTATTTATTTATTTATATATATATATATATATATATATATATATATATATATATATTTTTTTTTTTTTTTTTTTTTTTTTTTTTTTTGTACTGAGGATTTGACCCAGGGCTTCATATATGCCGGCAAGTACTCTATGATTAAGTTATATCCCCAGCTCTGTCTTTTGCTGTATAATAGATTACTCCAAAACTTAGCATCATAAATGACATTTTAAAAAAGATCATGACTTTAGGGTTCTGTGGGAAGACTGGGTGGGCTGGGTTGAGTGCTTCTCTTGAAAGCTCTTACATAGCTGCTTTTCAGATAGCAGCAGGGGCCAGAGTCACTTGAAGGCTCCGTGGGCTGGCTGTCCAGGATGGGACAGTCACACAGCCAGGAGTGGCAGCTGTGGACTCAGTTGAGGCTGATTCATTAAAATTCCTGCATGTAGCCTCTTTATGTGGCTTGAGATTCGCATAGTGTGCAACAGGCTCTGAGAAACAGTGTCCCAAGAATGAGTACTCATTTTAAGAGATTTTGTCTATGTGGCTTCTTATGTCCTACTCTTAGAAATCTCAGAGAGCTATTTCTATTGTTTTCTGTTAGTCAAGCACATCACTAAGGTCAGCTTACATTTATGGGTGAAGAATTAGGGTCCCCTTCTTTTAAGAAGTAGCCTGAAGGTGCAAGAAGAGGACTAGATGGTGGCGTGGAGACATCTGCCACAGTGCCTCAGTGGCCGGCATGTAAAGTAAGGAAAATAACATCTCTTACGTAGAGTTGTTTTGAGGAATAAAAGAATTAATGTAGATAAAATGCTTAGAACAGTACTTGGCATATTGTAAACATTGTGAAATTGTAAGCTCTTGTTATTTCTTTCATTTTTACTTGATGTGACTCACTTTTTCTAAGTCCATAAGGCCCTGCTTCTTTCCCTGGTGCCATACCTCTTCGTGGATACCTCTGCTGTTTTTCTAGATGGTGCTGCTTCCACGGGACACCATGGCTTCCTATGTGTTGTTCCAGATTTTTATAAATTCTGATGACTTGAAGTCCTTGAAGTGTCAAAGAAGAGAGTGCTGTAATCCCCATCCTGGGGTAAAGATGTATTGATAGTTTTTTATTTTTTATTTTTTATATTTGTGCTGGGGCTTGAACCCAAGATCTCTTGCATACTGGGTGCCAACCATCCATTCAGCCACTAGCTATATCCTCAGCTGCTAGTTTTTTTGTTTGTTTTTTAAGAGTAGCAGTTTTGTTTTTGGCTCTTGAGCCTTCCATAAGAATAAGTGACTCTGGAAGCCGAGGTGACAAAACCAAGTACTAGTCTCATTGTATTCAGAATTTCCTCCCCAATGGGTGTGGTGGCACATAGTTGTAATCCCAGCATTTGGGAGATTGAGACAGGAGGATCACCATGAGTTTGAGGCCCACCTGGATTACATAGTGAGTTCAAGGTCACCCTGAACTACATAGTGAGTTCAGGACCAGCCTGGACTGTACAGAGAGACCCTGTCTCAAAAAAACTTAACAATTTCCTTCTGTCCCATGACTGAGATTTTGTCATTGGAACATGATTACCTTTCTTCAAGATGTGTTCTTATCCTGAAGGCAGCGCCTCCACAGGCAGTGTTAGACAATTTTAAACTCTAGCAAGGACCTTCGCTCCAGTGCAGCTGGGGATTGGTATAAGGGGAGTTCTGGGGAATTTGACTGACTAAACAAAAACTGAAGAATGGCAGAATTCCATTTCCTCTCCATAGAGCACTCTTGCCCATCAATGTGAAAGGCCTGTATTAATCATTAGGTGAGGACAGAACTGCCTTTTGTCTCAGATACTATTTTTCATTTCTACATTTTAGTATGAAAAGGCAAAGAAAAGATAATGGAAACCTTTTTTCTCTATTGTCTTATGCACAGTCCTAATGCTTTGCCATGTTTAATTTTTTTTTCTTAAAAATGGAAATACCTTGTATGATGGATAAACTTGAAGCCCTTCTCATTGTTCTCCTCCTCCTTGTCCTCCTTACCTTCGCTCTTTGGTGGTTACTATCATGCATGCTTTATACTATTAAAGATAAGTATGTATTCGTAAATAACATTTAGTGCTGTATGAAGCTGTCAGACATACGTGCAAATGGTTTTATGCGGTACATACAATTATTCACCTTATGTTTCACAGCTTTATGCTTTTGAGATTTATTCATGTTGCTAATGTATAGATCTCTTCATTTCTCATTTATACAGATATTCTGCAGTATATTTTTGTGTTTTACAGTTGATGGATAGTGTCGGATAGTGTTTTTGCTTGGGGTTCTTTTTTGAGGTAGGGTTTCACTGTGTGGTTCAGGCCGGCCTTGAACTCAACTTTGTAGTCCAGGCTGACCTCGAACTTGTGGCGATTCTCCTGCCTTAGCCTCCTGAGAGCTGGGATTACAGGTGTGCATCACCACGCCTGGTGTTGATGGACAGTTTGCTTGCAGTTTTTGTGCCGTTATAAACAGTATCAAACTTTCTGTCCATTGTCATCTTGTGTACCTGTGCAAGCATTCCTCTGTAGAGTGTGTATTTCTATCTATTACTGAGGTAGATGACGTGAGCATGCATATTTTTTTAAAGCTCTGAAAAGTTTTAACTTTGAATAGACATTCCAGAAAGAGAAATTTTTTTTCAAATTATGCATGATTGGTTTTCACTGAGAATTAGATTCTGACTTGGCTGGAGGGCAGAAGAGCAGTGAGCACCATTCCATTCCCTCACTCTTAACTTGTGCTGAAATGAAGGATGGGACTTAGCATCAAAGAAAGTCTGCCTAGAACCTCGGGATTGTCACTGTCAGTAGGTCCCATGTTTTCTGGTTTTTTTGAGACAGGGTCTTCCTATGTAGTTCAGGCAGATCTTGAACTTACTATGTAGCCCAGGCTGACCTTGAACTTGTGATCCTCCTGCCTCTGCCTTTGAATGCTGGGATTACAGGCAGCACCACCATACCCCCACCTAAATCTCATGTTTCATCAAACCTAATATTTTAAGGCCCCAGAGTCCTGCCTCGGGAGGTATGATTGTCTTGCTATCCAAAGGTTAGGTGTCTTACAGCTTCCGTGTTGTTCTATTATCATTTTCTGCCTTCTGACATTCTTCTCTAGGTGTTTGCAGAGAGCAAGGATGAGATTGCTCTGGTCTTGTTTGGTACAGATGGCACTAACAATGCACTTGCTGCTGGGGACCAGTACCAGAACATCACAGTGCATAGACACCTGATGCTGCCTGATTTTGATTTGCTGGAGGACATTGACAGCAGGATCCAACCAGGTTCTCAACAAGCTGACTGTATCCTTTTTCAGCTGGAGAAGATTTAAGAAATTTCTCTTACTCTGGGGAGTTATGATCTAGTGGGATAGGGCTCTCAGGGTCCCAGTTTTGAGTATCTGGGGATGTTTTACTCTGAGGACAGAGAGGTGATATATGTTAAGATTTTTAATGTGAAATTAATTAAGTTGGGTGGCTAGGCTCTGAGCCTTTCAGTTACTTGTCAGTTTTCTGCACTGGTGACATTAAGAGTTGGGAGAACCAGGAAGGGGAAGATACTAGAGGGTCTCTGTGGCCTTGCCTATATAGTAGGGATGGTTAGAAATGTTTGGAGGCAGGGAAAGGATATTTTTAGAAGAGTATAGCATAAGCATTCCCCACGCGGTCCTGGATGGGATGTGTTTTTTGTGCCAAAATATCAGATTGATATTTGAACTGCGAGATTCCCACTTTCTTCTATGGCATCCATCATTTTAGGGGTTTTACTGTTTTTCCAGTTAATAGTTCCACTCCTGACCACTGGGAGGTGCTGCTGTGCTGAGAGTCACTTTAAAATGCTGCATTATGACTCAGGCTTATTTAAGAAAGGACTATAATCACCCAAAATGTGTTGTAGATACTAACAAACGGCATCAAAAGTTTTGGTTAAGTGAATATAATGTGTTAGATTACCTTTTATTTATTTTTTTACACATTGTGTTTGTCAGGATGCATGTTTTGGTATGTAGCATTTGGGAATATGTGATGATGAAATTAGAGGATAATTGGGCAAGTGCTTTTAAATCCTTGCCTGTTCCAGAATCTACAATTTCCAGCACTGTGAACTTTGCCGGGAGAAAGTTACATGTTCATGAGATAAAATGATTGGTGCTGTCTCTGCCCTTAACTAGCTGAGTTCTGGATGCACTGATTGTGTGTATGGATGTGATTCAGCGTGAAACTGTGTAAGTGTCTCACCTGAGAAACACGGAAATCTGCCTTTCTGCAAAAATTGTGGATTGATGTATTCAATATACTATGTGATTTTTTTTTTTTTTTTTTTTTTTGTCAGTCAGGTTGTATATTTGTGTGGCTTAAAAGAACATCTGATATAATTCAGTGGTTCAATCTATTTTTAAAAGTTTACAAAGAAGAAGGGCTACATTTGGTGGGAATTTCTCTGGGAAAAGTAAACTGGCATATTTCAGTTTTCTTCTGAGTTAATTATCAGTAATATTTTAAAATACTAAGTGAGGCCTGTGGGTGTAACTCAGTGGTAGAGCACTTTGCTAGCATGCACGAGGCCTGGATTTGATTCCCAGCACTGTAGAACTAAAATAAAATAATAAAAGTAAAATTAAATTAAGAATACTAGATGATATGATCCCATCAGTATTTGACATTAACTGTTTAGTACTGTGTCCAATTTTCTAATCTATTATTTAATTATTGCCATGAAAATATATGTCTTTGAACATACACACACATTACTCAGTAATTAAGTGTATTTGATTTTGTGTAAAACATTTCAGGACAGTGGTTTTTTTTCTTCTTGTGGTATTGAGGATTAAATAGCCCAGAGCTTTCACACTAGCTATATCTCCAACCTTTTTAAATATTTTTAATTTGAGACAGAGTCGCATTAAGTTGCTCAGACTGGGTTTGGATTTGCAATCCTGGCCTCAGAGTGCCAGGATTACAGGTATGTGTTATACCTGGCTTGAGGAGAATGTTTTCTTAATGAGTTAATTCTCTTTTAGGGGAAAGAAGTTTGAGAAGCGGCACATTGAAGTGTTCACTGACCTCAGCAGCCCATTCAGCAAAGATCAGCTGGATATTATAATTCATAATTTAAAGAAATCTGGCATCTCCCTACAATTCTTGTAAGATCCTTGTAACATCCTACAAATAATGTATATAGACAAATCCTATTATCCTTACTGCAGTGAGTGATCCCTTTATGAGGTATTCAGTTCATAGCAGTCTTCTCTTTCTACTGAATCAGAATCTATCATATCTGACTACTGATTTACTGATTATTCTTTTCCTTTTCCTTGTTTAATTTTTTTTTTTTTTTGTCTTTTTCCTTTTTATCGGTACCAGGAATCAAACTCACGACTGCCTGCTTGCAAGGCAGGCTCTTAGACCGCTGAGCTAAATCCCCAGCCCCCAATTTGCTGATTATTCTGTGTTTTATTTTATTTTATTTTTTTGGCACCAGGGATCGAACTCATGACCTTGCACTTGCCAGGCAGGTGCTCATGCCGTTAAGCTAAATCCCCAGCCCATTATTCTGTGTTTTAGAAACTCTTGTGAGGTTTGGTGATAGGGAGATAAAAGAGAGAGTCACAAGAATTGAGCTTGGTAGCAGATCATTTTTTTGTGTGCTGTTTTTAAAAAGGAATTAGAAGAGTGTTTGAGGGCATTTAATTTCTCTTCTGCCTGCATTGAAGACTTTACCCCAACAACTACAGATTGGTTGTTTTCTTAAACAGCTCAGAGAACTATCCTACAGACAGTAGCTGCTTACAGATAGACCAAAACGTCATCTTGGGAACCATTTTATAACATGTCTATCTAATATTTACATTTAACACTAAGATCTAAAGGATGCAGTAATAAATATAAAATGTAATTTGCTTATGTTTATTTAGAGACAAGGTATATAAGTTCAGGGGAAAATGTGTATTTGATAGTTGATTAGAGTTGTCCTTCCTTCCCCAATATCTTGAATTTCCCCTCCAACATTTACTTTTCTCTTATGTCCCTAGCAAAAAGTTCTTTTCACTATGCTAATCCTTCCTGCTGCATTTAAAACCTTTTTTCTCTTGTCCTATTTTTAGTGAGAGCAGAGTGATGGTATAGGATGTTGAATTATTAATCTGGGGACACTTCATTTCTCAAATTGAGAGCTACACCAAGAAGTCTGTAACTCAGAGTGGTAAGCCGTTGGCTTTTTAAACTGCCTGCTTCGAGGAATTAAGAACCTCTTTTGCATGTCTGTGCCCCTTAAGACTGCTGGGGGACCTCCTTTCTGTAGAACTGTAGAAAAACAATACAGAATAACGCATCAAACTGATCCTGGTTAAAATGGTACTTCAGAGAAATGAAGTGCTTTTTAAGTGACACTTCTCATCGAGCCGAGGTTTTCTCAGTGCTTCACAAGCCTGCCTCGGCTTCTCTTCCCTGCTCTTGATCTCAGGAAGCCCCACACGTGGTTGAAGCATGCAGTATTGAGCTATCAGTGTCATTTGAAAGGGCCGATGGGTTTTTTTTTTTTTTTTTTTTAATGAGTAAATGTGCAGAAAAGGGAGCATAGCCTTTTTTTTTCTTGCTTGTTTGACTAGGGTTATTTTTTTTCTTGGGAAATGTGTTTTCTTACTGTGCTATAAACTCCCACCATACAGAGTTTATGCTTTTATTGTTCAGTATATTGCAAGTGTGATAAATGTTCTTGTTGGATTAAAGCAAAGACCAGCAACACAAAAAAGGACTGTATTCTGAGCATGCTTGTTCCTTAGACTTGATTTTTTCATTTACTGACTTCTGAGAAAACTTTCTTGGAGTCAAGTGCAGCATAGAAAGAACTGCTATTGTCACTTCTGTATTGGGGATAAACTTTCTTTCGTTTTTCTTTTTTGTTCTTTTTGAGACCGGGTCTTGCTGTGAATTTCAGACTGCTCTCAAGTCTTTTATCCCTTCTTCCTGGTTAGTGCTATAGAGATATCCATAAGCTAAAGCTACCTCTCTGTGCCACACTTTGCTTCCTGGAAACTTTAATGCAGGATACACATATCTGTCATTTTGAGTATATGTAGTAAAAACTTTGGACAGAGAGCCCTATCTTAAGTAAGCAAACAAAGTGATAGAGAAATTGCCTTAACAATATCCATCCACATTGGAGTGACTAGAAATAATGTTGGTAAATGGTTACTAAATCTAGCCATTTAAGTTTCCAGGGATAAAGTAAGGTATGTGACAATGGGAAAAACCATGCCCTTTCAGTCAGGTGACTGAATCCTTGCTGCATTACTTACTAACTGTGAGCCAAATTATTTCATCTCAGTAGCTTCCATTTCTGTAGAAAACGGAGATAAAAGCCTTTGTCTACCTAGTATATGAGAATTAAATGAGATTGTTTCTGTGAAAGTATGTATAAAGTACCATTTAGAATATTGCATAGAATGAATTTGGGTAGTTTGTTTTTTAGCTTGTCTGTTCATCTGTTTGGTAGGGGTGCTTTTTGAGACTGGATTTCACTGTGCAGTTCAGGCTGGCCTTGAGCTCACTTTGGTAGCCCATACTGGTCTGGAACTCACAACAATCCTCCTGCCTCAGCCTTCTGAATGCTGAGATTACAGGCATGTGCCACCACGCCCAGCTGTCTGTTAAGTATTTAACATTTTTATGGCTGGTGATTCCAACCTAGTTTTAGTCTCATTTCAGTCAAACAACTGTAGTGAAACAGAAGAACAAAATTAGATTTTATTTATGTCTATTAAATTTCTGACTTTTGTATAGGAATCTGTATCTGCAATAAATTTGAGTTTAAAATATTTCCTAATATTCACCTATTTAATCCCTGTAATAATTTGGAGGGATTATTTGTGACTTTTTTGGAGAGGAGAGGTTCTGTCCAGAATGTCACCTAACCTTTTTATAGGAAGCCTTTTTAGAACTTTAACCTCTTGGATTGAATGAACTGGCTTTGAGCCTGTCATTGACTCTTAGTTTTATTTGAATTTGAACACAGAGGATTAAACACTGAGTCCCTCTTAGGTTGTAGAGTTAGGCAATGTGAGCTTGTCTTAGTTCATCACTGTCGCTATAACAAAATACCTTCGACTGGGTGATTTATGAACAAAAAGAAATATATTTCTTATGGTGCTGGGGCTGGGGAGTCCAGGATCACAGCAGATCAGGTTTCTAGTAGGGGATCTTGGCTTCCCAGATCCTGCCTGTTACTTTGTCCCCAGATAAGGGCCGGGGATTTAGCTCAGTGGCATAATCACCTGCCTGGCAAGTGCGTGGTCATGAGTTCGATTCCCGGTACCAGAAAAAAGGAAAAAAAACAAAAGAGGCAAACTTTGTCCCCAGATGGCAGAAGGGTAGAGGGTCCTCCTCCCTTTAGCCTCTCTTGTAAGACCACTGTTCTCAATTCTGAGATTCTACTATCATGACTTAATCACTTCTCAAAGGTCCTGCCTATAATATCACATTAATGATTAACTTTTAACTATGCATTTTTTGGGGCGTATTCAGATCACAGCATAGCTTAAGTGTATTCAGAGGCAGTAGGAAGAGGTCATTCTGAGAAAGTGAAGCCAGTGTTTGGACAGATGAAGGCACAGTGCCCAGAGATAGTGAAAGGGTCAGACGTCATGGCATTTGAGACCCTGAGTCTGGTTATCCTAAGTCCGTATAAACTCTACTTTTTCAATTATGTGGTTATGTAAGCCAATAAATCTCCCCGTTCTACCAAATCAAAGGTTTCAGTCACCTGAAACAGAATACAGTATTGGCTAAGGTAGGTGAGTGTCGTTTGACAGATGAGAAGCTTTGTGAAGTTGCCTGACATGTCTGTTTTCTCCTAGCTAGTACATGGCAGTCACAGGATTGGAGCCTAGGTTATTATTTGCCTCAGAGCCTGTCTTCTTAACAACTGGTGGTCTTTCCCTGATAGTTTGCCTTTCCCCATTGGCAAGAAAGATGGAACTGGAGACAGAGGAGATGGCAACTTGCAGATGGGTGACCATGGGTCCTCTTTTCTTCAAAAAGGAATCACTGAGCAGCAAAGAGAAGGTATACATATGGTGAGGAAGATGATGCTGTCGTTAGAGGGCACCAATGGGCTGGAGGAAATTTATTCCTTCAGGTAAGAAGACAAAACAGCTTTTTATTGTATCCACATAAATTTGTTTTAATTGGAGGGCCCCCCTAATGCTTCTGAATTAGCTGAATTATTAGTCATTTTTGTTTTAAAAAAATCTTTTTTCTTTTTTTAAATTAATTTTATTGGTACATTTTAGATACATAAAGATCACATTCATCATAGAGAATTTGTATCTGTACATAATCTATCTTGATTCTTCTTTTTCCCCTCATTCTTCTCCCTTCCCTTCAACCCCTCTTTCCTTCCTTACAAAAGTTTTCTCTCAATTTTTCCCCTTTTCTTCTCTATCTTCCCCTCCCTGTCCTCCCTCCCTTGTTCCCCTTTCCATATGAATCCTTTCTATTTCCCAATGTCTGTCATTCATTTTGGTCTTTATTGACACTTTGTGTTTCTTATGAAAGAGAAATAGTGTGGTGTTTACGCATGTGTTTGTTTTCTCACTTAAAAGTATGGTTTTGAGGTATGTCTGTTTACCTAAAAATGTCTCAGGTTTATTCTTTATGACAGAATAAGTGCTCCATTGTATACAAAATCAAACTCAAAATGTAAAGACCATAGCCTGCTTATTTTCTATTGGTGTTATAATGGCAAAATTTTGAAAATGTGCAATCCCTGAAGTACCATATAATAGGCAAACTGTTTTATCTATCTGTAGAGACAAAGGAATAGAGTTTCTCCTTTATTAGACTTATTGTTAGGTTAGACATATGTTTATTTTGAGCAGAGAGGATTCAAAGCTGTATGTGTTACTCAGCTTTTTATTGCTATCACGAAATATCTGAGAACAACTTAACGGAGGAAAGTTCATTTTGGCTCAGTTTCCATTCTGTGGTCTGTTGGCTCCCTTGTTTTAGGCCTGCAATGAAAAAGAATATGGCCAAAAGATGTGGTAGAGGCAAGCTACTTATCTTGTGGCAGTGAAGAAGCAGAGACAGAGGGACAGAGCTTTAGTGAAAGGGACCTGGGACCAGGAATAGTCCCTCAGCTGGGCTCCCCCTCCTGTTTCCATCCTCTCCGCAAAATGACCTCAAATTCTGCTCTCGTCAGTGGATTGGCCCACATTTGAAGTTAGAGCCCTCATGATCCAGTCAGTCACTCAGAAAAACATATCGGCAGCCAATCTTCCTTCCTACTCCATGAGCCTTTTTTTTTCAGTGTGTGTGTGTGTGTGTGTGTGTGTGTGTGTGTGTGCTGAGAATTGAACTCATGACCTTGCACTTGCCAGTCAGGCCCTGTGCTGCTGAGCTATATACCTGGCCTCGCCTCAGCCTTTTGTGGGACATCTAAGACCCAAACCATCACAGTAGCATCTAGAATAGTGTGTGAGAACCCTGATTTGGCAAAAGTGGCAAATATTTTACCAAACAGAATGGATTGTATAGATTCATATTTTCAGAGATAATACTGCTTGATGTTCATGAATTAATTCTGATTTGTCTATCAATACTCAAAAGATAAGCAGTTAAGCAAAGTTCTCAATTGAAGGAAGGATTCAACAACTAGAATTTTTTGAGTAGCTGTGGTACATATCTGCTCTAATTTTCTTGCAACCACAATTTTAAGTATTTCTGGTGAGCTGTAATCAACAAATAATATATCCTGATTTACTAAGTATAGACATGTTTGAAAAATTATGTAAATTTTGGAAATAGAATTGTAATTTCCCAAAAGGTTGCCAGCAGAATTAATGAAGAATCCTAATAAACTAAAGCTTCTTAGCATAATGTATGTTCTTAGGAATATCAATAGATATTCCTAAGTTATTTCTCTTTCTAATTTAGGAATACATACCTTATACTAACATATCAAGCATCCTAACATAAAGGAAAATTGTACACCAGTTTAAATTGCTATTGAGAAGGGGGTTTCTCCAATAGTGTATGTGGTGGTTAGGATGGAGTATCAACTTTAATGGATTTGAGATCTACCTGAATAATTGGTGGAACAAACTTCCGCGGGTGTCTGGACGGACCATGGGATTGTGGCCTTAGAGTGTGTGTCTTGCCCCTTGCCCCTGCCTTTCTGGTGTTGCGCTCCTGTTTGTTTCTTAGCCACTGTGAACTAAGCAGCTTGCTTCCGTACACCCTTCTGCTGTGAGGTTCTTGTCTGCTGACCATGTACTAAATCTCCTGAAGCTGTAAGCTAAATTAAATCTCTCTTCCCTAGTGGTGAGTTCTGAGTATTGTGTCCTAGCAGTACGAAAGCTGAGTAATATAGTATAACCAGTGGGTAAATTACTGATTATGCGTTATCCTAGCAATTTGAAGCTACTTTGATTTTAGGTCACTGTGAAATACAGTAGCCATTAGCTACACTTTGCCATTAGCTACATACGGATATTTAAATTTAAGTTAATTAAAATGAAATAGATTTAAAAATTTCATCCTTTAGTCCCAGTAGCAATGTTTCAAGTACTCTATTTCTTGTTGGCCAGGTATTATACAAAGCTGTACCAGTAATGGCCAGCTGGACTTAATCCACATAGAAGATCTTAGGAAGACAACTTGACTTCTGCCCAGAGAGATTTAACTCTAGTGCAGAACTGAGCCAGTTATTCTCAAATCTTGCATATTAGACAGTGGGCCTAAGAATTTCTCCTGGAATAGAACGTGAACCTTTTTGATGGCTTTAGCCTGATCATACTTGGACTAGTAATGTCTCGTAAAACAGGTCAGATTTGACTTAGGCTCATTCTCCCATAATCCAAAGCCAAGATGTGCTACAAACTTTGGAAACAAGTTAACAGGCAGAATAGTTACTATTCATTGTATATTAGTTCTGAGAATTGTAGTCTGTTGGGATCTCCCTGTCCATAACTCTGTGGATAATGTAAACGAATTCTCTCTGCTTCTTTGTAAATCTACTTTTCATCTGTACCAAGGAGATCAGTCATAGCATCTGTTCTGCACACTCCCTGTGTATTTAAGTAACTAATTCCTTTGCTTGCTCTCTGAATGAATATCAGGATAGGAATAACCTATACTGTAATCTTCTCTGTTGTGTTTGATTAAGGGCAGGTAAAAATAGAATTGATCTTCATTTTTGGTTAAATGAAGCGGTACTTTACATTGAATTTGTCCCCTTTCTTTACCCCTTCTCATCAGTAAAATACCAAGAACTACTTTAAGACTGCAGACTACTGATTCCCTTTACTCCCTGGATAGTCTTTATTTAACTGTTATGTGTGTGTAAAAACAGATCCTGGCTTTCACTAAAGAATAAAGAAAGCTGGCATCCACTAATGAATTACACCAGTGAGCAGTGCAGTTACAGGATGGTGCCTTCCTTTGATATCAGAGAACAGGGATTCTTATCCTCAGATTCATTGTTTTCAGACATCCTTTATATTGCATGCAGACTCATTTGTGACTATGCTTTTATCATATCCTCAAAGGTGTCCTTGTTCCTGAAAAAATGTTAAGAACCACTGGCAGAGTTGAAAGAAATGATTGAATGGGGAAAGATAGAGCCGTTCGTTGCTACCTGTCAGTAAAGTAATTCAAGCCTTATTTTTCCCCAGCCAGCCCATGTTCTGGCTGTCTCCCAACCTGTGGCTGTCATTTTCCTGCCATTCCCTGCTCTTCTCTCTGTATAAAGTCAACAATAGCTCCCTTCTCATTGTAGAAAACTAAGTGTATCATCTAGTACAGGTTAACATTTTAAAATTGTTACTTTCATTGTATATTTTTCTTTATTAAGTGAGAGTCTCAGACAACTGTGTGTCTTTAAGAAAATTGAAAGGCATTCCATGCCCTGGCCCTGCCAACTGACCATTGGCTCCAATTTGTCTATAAAGATTGTAGCCTATAAATCGGTAAGTGCTGCTTACATGTTTTTAAAATAAATGTTACCAGGCAGAGCAAAAACGCTTATGTAAGGAGCTGACAATTCATGTGTGGGTTATTCAGAGCATAATTACTGCTTCTCTAGCTGCTCTCCCTTTTCATTTAATCTCTGTTTAGCTTTATGTAAAAGGCATTCTAGGAGAAGTTTTAAGAATCGTCTATAATAGAGTTTAATTCTCTCCTCTTTCTCTTTATCTGTATTGATAATTAACTGTTAATCATGAGTTCTGGTGTCTTTTAAGAAAAACATGTAATGCATTAAGATGTCATGTAATATTATAGCAGAAATGTAGTGCAGCAGAGTTGAATTCAGAGTTTTGGAGATTCATCACACCTAATTCAGTTACTAATGATCTGATAGTGAAAGCTTCTATGAAATGTCAAAAATTGATGAACTGTTACTGTGAAATTGTATTTCATAATATGTGTACATTTGTGCATATTAGTGTACTGTCAACAGTGAGTTGCTTTTGGTGATATTTGATGTCTCCAGTCTGAGTAGGAATCTGAAGCATGCCTCCACACAAGCTTCCTTGCTTTTATTCTTTAAATGTACAAAAAATAAAAATATTCTAAGTACACAAAAATAAATGCACATATTCTTGTATTAGTTCTGAAACATGACATGTTGTAAAAACCCGGGAGGTATTTCTTTTTTATTTATAATTACTTTTTAGCCCATCGAAGCTTAGAATAGTGTCCCTAGGAATAAGAGGACAGTTTCCTCCTCTTCTTTTTTTTTTTTTTTTTTTTTTTTTTTGTGGTACTGGGGATCGAACTCATGACCTGTGCTTGCCAGGCAGGCACTTATGCCACTGAGCTAAATCCCCAGCCCCCTCCTCTTCTTCTTAATGCAGGTTTCCTTTTCAAATTTTATTGAATTCAGACTCTCTTTCCTTTTTTGTTGTAAAACTGTGATGAAATAGGTTGTTCTCCCTTTATCAGACAGTATGAGGGTTTAATATATTCAGATACTAATATTTGTTGAGGGAAGACTGTAAGAATTAAAAAGTGTTTTTTTTTTATGAAATAAAGATTTCTGTAAAAGACGAAAGTAAATATAACATTCTAGCTAGAATAATTGTTCTAGATTCTTTCTTATATGAACCAGAGATTGATTGTATTAGGTTTTCATCTATCAATCATAATCCTAGTTTTTCTTATTTTTCCCTCTGTCGTTTGGAATTAAGATTGTACAGGAGAAAGTTAAAAAGACTTGGATAGTTGTGGATGCACGAACCCTAAAAAAAGAAGATATACAAAAAGAAACAGTTTATTGTTTAAATGATGATGATGAAACTGAAGTTTCCAAAGAAGACACTATTCAAGGTATGGAGTAAGAGTTTGTGCTTTTGTCTAAAATACGTTTTCTTCAAGGTGATATGAGTCAGGCTGGGGCTTGTGTTGGTGTCCACTCAGAGATGATTCTTTTGAGTTACAGAGAGGCGACTGACTATCTGAGAGGATACAGGTCCTCTGGCTCCTTTGTTGGGTTGAGGCAGGATGGTTCCTGGGAAGACATTTGAGATTTCATTAGTCTGAACTTTAAATGTCTCAAGTGATGGAGACATTAGATGATATTTAACATTCCTTTATTGTTGAAACTCACTAGCTAGGAGAATGGCTAAATAATTTGTCTGCTTTTTTAATATAGGAAATTGAACTCAGGACTTCATGCTTGCCAGGCAGGCACTTATGCTACTGAGCTGTAGCCCCAGCCTCCAGGCTAAAAATTTTTTTAAGAATGTTTTCCTTCATTCAGGAGGCTGAAGCAGGAGGATCATTACAAGTCCGAGACCAGCCTGGGATACAAAGTGAGCCCAAGGCTAGCCTGAACTGTATAGCAAGACCCTGTCTCAAAACAAACAAACAAACAAACACAAAAATAGTTTTTCTTCCTTCATAATTCTTTAAATATCAGTTTTAGGTTTTATATCCTACTAGATATATGCCTTCAAGTTAATTTAGAGGGTAAGAAAAATTATGCCTATTATATTGCTTAATAGTCTCTAGGATCTTTAAAGTTGTGTTTTTGTTCATACCCATTTGGCTTGAAACTATTAAAGGACTTAGAAACTAGCTGAAAATATCCAAATGTCAAAGAGCTAAAACTATAATATACCAAATAATAGTTAAGGTAGCATCTTCTAGGGTCCTAGTTACATTTATTGCCAGGCTGTGTATTACCCAGTATATTTTTGATTTGCAAGTCCTGAAAACAGTTTCATCTGTGGTATTGTAACACATTGCATATAGTTACATGTGTTGCAGAATAGGCGGTTCAAAGGTAGTGATGGTTATCAGTCTTTCTCCTGATGCATTGTGTATAAATTGTCATTATATCTTCCAATTTCTACTGATTCCTTAGTTCAGTTCAGTTACCTAGAACATGAATTTTGGAATCAGACTTGGGTTAGAATTATGACTCTATGGCTGATGATTCCTGGTGTCATAACTAGCTATAGTAGGAAGAATAGAATGATTAATAGCGCAAGATGAGGAAAGTGGGGCTGGGTGGTATCTAACAGTGTGCAGTGGCTTTGTGATTGCACAGCAGCATCCTGAAGCCAGGTACTCTTTATTATTTCCATTTTACAGATAAGGGAACCAAGACTGAAGGGCATTCATTAATGTGTTCAGAATCACACAGCTAGCAGCTAGCACCACTTGAACTGAGGTCTGTACTCCCTTATATTACTCATGATTCGTGACTGGGTAATTGAGCTTTGAAGGATGGGCTAAGAATTTCTGCATAAACTTTTTTTTTTTTGTTACTGGAGATTGAACTCATGACCTCGTGCTTGCCAGGAAGGTGTTCATGCCACTGAGCTATGGCATATGCATAATCTTGAAAGTAACTTGGAATCATTTACAGTTTTCAGGAGCAGGATGTCTTTGGAGCTAAATTTTAGGAAGATGAATATGACAGCCAGGTGCTGGATGGATTTAGGAGGAGCAGGGACCATTGATGGATGTACCAGTTTTTTTGATTATTAGCAAAGAAACTTCTGGTTATCTTTTTTTTTTTTGGTCTTTTTTTGAGACAGGGTTTCACTATGCAGTTCAGGCTGGCCTTGAGCTCACTTTGTAGCCCAGGCTGGTCTGGCATTCACAACAATCCTCCTGCCTCAGCCTCCCGAGTGCTGCGATTATAGGCGTGAGCCACCTGTGCCTGGCTACTTCTGGTTATCTTAAGGAAAAAGAAAATGTGCAATGGGGTGATGATGGATGGGGAAACATTAAAAATGGTTTGGTTCAAAATGCATGGGAATACGTTATTCTGCCTTTACCTTTTTGCAGCTATTTTTCAACTTTTTTTTGTCTGTCTATACTGCATCCCGTAATATTTAAAGTTCTTTGTCTACAGAGAGATTAGTATGCAAATATAGGCAAAGGGATGTGGATATATGAGGTGTGATCACAAAATATGGAGGACATTTACTTTTTAAAAAAATTTACAGTAAAAGACATGTTGCCATTAATACCCCTCAGAATATTCTGAATTGCTTCAAATATACTTATCCCTTTATTCTTCTTTTTGTTTTGTTTTATTTTTTTGTTTTTTTGAGACAGGGTCTCACCATGTAGTTGATGCTAGCCTCAAACTCTTGGCAATTGTCCTGCCTCTGCCTCACAAGTGCTGAGATAACAGGTGTGCGCCACTATGGCTGACCCAGCATTCTTAACATCCTCTGAATTCCTCTTTTGCAACTTTACTTGTGCTGTCATGGCTGCCTCACTATCTTGAATCTTTTCAAAATGTTTCCCTTTCATGGTCATTTTGACTTTGGGGAAGAGCCAGAAATCACGTGGTGCCAGCTAAGATGAATAGGGTGTATGAAGATATACTGAAATGTTTTTACTTGACAGAAATTGCCATAATTGTTGGTTCGCTTGACATAATTGAAACATAGAGTGAATATTTAAATGAAAAAGCTTATAGTAAAAGACATATTGCTATTGATTTTCCTCAGAATACTAAAAGTACTTTCCCCTTACTTTAAACACACTTATCCTATCATTCCTGAAAATGTTTCTTACTGTAAAAAATTTTTTGTCTTTTTTTGAGATGGGGTCTTGCTATGCAGTTCAGGCTGGCCTTGAGCTCACTTTGTACCCCAGGCTGGTCTCAAACTCGCAACGATCCTCCCACTTCAGCCTCCTGAATGCTGGGATTACAGGCGTGAGTGTAAAAAGTTTTTAAAAATTAAACATTTACTGTATTTATCAGTCACCTCTTGTAATGTAGTGTCTATTCTATACTTTCTGCCATATAGAAAAGTTAGAGATATTTGCCCTTTAATTAGAAGCAGAAAACACAGTTTTAATTAGAATTTTCAAGTTACTGTTAAACAATTTAAGTGGGAAGATAATTGATTCAGAGAAAAATTAGGAATATCAATCATGCACCATTATATTTCTTTGTTAATGTTGGTTGGGCTTTTTTTCTTTTCTTTTTTTTTTGCCAGTTTTTAACAAGAGATATAGGAAGATAGAAATATGTACCTTTTTACCTAAATACATGGTGTAAACAGACTAAGGAACAAATGAACACTGGGTCACAGAATCTGCCCCTGGATACGCAGGGTTTTGTTTTTCGGGTACTGGAGATTGAACTCATGACCTTGCACTTGCCAGGCAGGTGCTTGTGCCACTGAACTAAACCCCTGGCCTGGTTTTTGCCTTTTGGATTGAAGATGAATGATTTTTCCTTGCATTTACCCAAGTACAGACCCCTGGAATTTCGGTGTCCCTTCTCACCATCCGGATGACGCTGTATTGAAGGAGCACATTGCATGGAGTGGTGGTAGTGAATGAGCTCAAGGTTTTGTCTTTCTTTTTTTAATCAAAGAGCCAATATTTACATAAAAAGGAGGAAAGAAACCACAAAATTCTAAAGATAAAATAAATTTAAATGAGGAAAAATATGCAACTTATCAGTCAAATACTTCTAAACAGAAGAATTTTGTCATCTTTCCTTAGGCATTCATATGTCTTCAGCATACATTTTTCAGATTTTGTTCTGAGAATTTCCTATGAGCAGTTTTCTCTGTGGGCCTCCAGGTTTTTGAATACATGTGTTTTTGTTATTATGTTCAACAAACCATGCTTCACTTTTGTCAGCCATGGCTTATCTTTGGAGGATAGCTAGTACACTGCATTTGCTCTGTTTTTTATTCTGGGCTGGATAATCATTAAGGTAACTAGATTGCAGAAGATGCTACTTAAAAAATGTAATTAGATTTTAATCTCTACATCGTGTGTGGCTTGGATCTGCTGCTGCCTTTTCTCTGTTGATCACAAGGGGTAGTAATTTGGTTCCAGGGAATAGAAGATGGAGCAGGCTCTGGAATATGCATGCACTGCTAATGTATGCGTGGCGCACATTTCAGCTTGGAGAAAATGAAGCCCCATGTACTTAACAGATGCTCTGCTCTTGTTCTCTAGGGTTCCGCTATGGAAGTGATATCGTTCCTTTCTCTAAAGTGGATGAGGAACAAATGAAATATAAATCAGAGGGGAAGTGCTTTTCTGTTTTGGGATTTTGTAGATCTTCTCAGGTATGGCAATTGCCTTGTAATTTTGAGCAAAATGCATGAACCTTTTTCACTTACCACTTGTGACAGTGTGCTTTTTTTGATTGGCCATTATTTACAATATATATTTATTTTACCTTGATCTTCTAAAATGTAGTCTGAGGTTTAGTGTTGCCACATTTGGTTTTTGAAGAGGATAATGAAAATGTAGAGGGCTTTTAGTACAAATCTAAATAATAAATTCAATTAAGTCACTTTTTTGTCTTATTAACCATTATTACTGATAAAACCTTAAAGAAATAGTATCTAGTTCTTTGTTCTTGTACTGTTTTCTGCAAACTGTTATGTATAATGGAATGTTTTAGACCTTTAAGGATCTGGCTGAGTTTTGAAAGATTATTAACACCCAGAATGTTACTTCTTTGCGCTGACCATCTTTTGTCTCAGTGTCCAATGTAGAGTTCTAGGATGCAAAACTTACATAAGTTACATGTTTTGTAGATACCAAAGCAGAGATGCACAAAATGGACACAATGGGAAGCATAGTAATTCACTATTGGATACCACAGACAATTTTAGAAAGGACTGTTAACAGATTTTCGGACATTTTAGGTTAAATGTTCTTGGGAAAAAAAAAAAAGCTAGAAAACCCAGGCTTGGTGATATATTCTTATAATCTGAGCACTCAGGAGGCTGAGGCAGAAGGATCCTCCCAAGTTTGAGGACACCTGGGCTACAAAGTGAGTTCAAGGCCAGCCTGGACTACAGAGTGAGACCTGTGTCAAATAAACAAACAAAACGTCCTTGAGGTACACAGTCACAGGTCAATTATTAATAAATGTAAAGCATATCTTTTTATGTATATTTTACCCATTTTATAGGAATGAAGAGAGTTTAATTAATGAACTCATGTGAATATTAAAGTTAAATGTTACTCTGTATTCTTATTTTATTGTTTGTTTGTTTATTGTTCTGTTTTTTTTGAGACAGGATCTCACTGTACAGTTCAGGCTGACCTTGAGCTCACGATCCTCCTGCCTCGGCCTCCCAAGTGCTGGGATTATAGGCGTGTGCCTAGCTACTCAGTATTTTTCATGTTCCTCTAGCATGTTGGTCCCTGCCTGTGTGTGTGTTAGAATAATTCAGTGACATTGAGAAGAGCTGTTTTCATGTTTGTCTAAACTTAACTATTATGTGGTTTCAAAACTTATAAGCCAAAAATTTAGGATATTAACTTAAAGTCTGTAAGATTTTGTTAATGACAGTAAATACCTTTTGAAAATTGAAAGTCTGAGCTGGGCGTGGTGGCTCACGCCTGTAATCCTAGCACTCGGGAGGCTGAGGTGGGAGGATCGATGGGAGTTCAAGACCGGCCTGGGCTACAAAGTGAACTCAAGGCTGCCTAAACTGCATAGAGAGACCCTGTCCCGAAAAAGACAAAAAAAAAAAAAAAAAAAAGTTGAATCTGTAACAAATCTCTATGAAAAGCCACTAAATAATGCTTTTCTTAAAAGTAAAATTACTCAGTTTGGGAACTATATAAACTTAAAGCATATTTAAAACAAATCTTCACTGAAACAGAAACCTCATTTACTTTTTGTTTCTTGAAATAGGGTCTTACTGTTGTTCAGGCTGGCCTTGAACTCATGGTGATGCTCCTGTCTCAGCCTCCCTAGCGCTGAGGTTACAGGCATGCATTACCACATCTGGCTTCACAAATATCATTTTTAGATTAGTTTAAGGAAATTGGACAATTGAAATGTGAACTTAAGTCTAGATAATAGAGAAAATGAATGAAAAAACATCTTCAAGTGTAATTCAGTAATGACAATATTGACATTACCTATGCCATATTTGAGGAAGGAGCAATTTTAAATAACAAGAAAAAAGTGAACAGAACAAAAAATATAATTTTTGTTTTAGAGGACTTTTAACATGAAATGTTTTCAAAATCAATTTTTGTCTTTAAGCTCTATTTCAGTTTTATCTTAACTCTAACCTCAGGCAGCTATATTGAAGATAAGCATAGCTACCATTTAGTAAGTAATTGTAATGTTCCAGTAAATACATTAGTATTTTATATAAATTTCCATTTAATTTTTTACCTTCTCAGGTGGCTCTGTGATACGCATTTTTTTATTGAAGAAATTGCAGTTCAGAGCTACTATGTAACTTGTCTAGGCTCGTACTGCTAAACGATGCTCTAGGTAGGTTTTAAGTCAGATCTCTGTAACTCCAAAGGCCATGCCACTGTTTAGTGATAAGTGTTCTGGGGTTGAACAAGTGCACTGTTGAATAGTATATTTTAAACACCTGCTTTCTTTCATATGATATTTTAACAAAAGGATGCAAGGTGTTTTCCATGGCAACTATGATTAAATATAAGCATACGCCTTTTAACCCTCTTTAATTCTTCATTTTAGTCTCTGCAGTTCATCACTGCCCTCTCACTGCTTTTAGAATGAAGTCCAAAACATTTGACTTTGTTCCTAAGAGACTTTATGATCTCATCTTTGTTAATTTCCAATCTGATTTAAAAAAAAAATCTTTTCCTTTATTCACTGACCCTGCAATACTCAAAACAGTTTCTCACAGTTACTGTGCTTTTATGTCACTCTACATTTTTATTCACACTGTTATTTCCGCCTGGGATCTTCTGCCCAAACTCTTCCCTAGGTCAGTTCCTACATAGTCTCTTTAGTCTTGAATTAGACATCACCATTTTCATAAACATTCCCTAAACTTTCATGCCTCAGCTCAGTACCCTTATTTGCTCTGAAAACACCATGTAATTTGGACTGTAATATTGGATTCAGTTAATTTCATATTTTTCCACCCAAGTGCCTCAAGGACAAGATTATATCTTGTCTACCATTAAGTTTGTAGATCCATACTGGAAGACACATGCTAGGTGTTCAGTTATTGTTACATTGAATTGAATTGGGCCTTAAGTAATAAGCTGTTCCTAGTAATTGTGAATGTTTTCCAGTAAGAATGTTTTGAATAGCTTTTCTTAGCAACATGGGACATTTTTGATATATATCATTCTAGATGAAAACCATTTTTTCCCCTTTGTTTATTCTTGTAGGTCCAAAGAAAATTCTTTATGGGAAATCAAGTTTTAAAGGTCTTTCCTGCACGTGATGATGAAGTGAGTTGACTATGATCTTTGAAGCAGTGCTGTAGAACTGAATTGTCATTTTATGAAAGTGGGCTGTTTGAGGCTTTGTTGTTTAAAATGACACGAGTTCGTGTAATAGCAGTGGGAATATTCACTGACTTTTGACTGTGAAAACGGAGAAATGACAAACAAGTTTGTCTTAGCATAACCAAAAGACCCAAGAACATAGTTCTGCAATTGGAGAAGTAGGTGTAAGTATTTTTGAATAAGTGCCAAGTTGTGAGAATTTCGTGGTCAGGTGTTAAGGAGGTTTGGGGTCAGGTTGGCATACTGATTTTTATAAACATTAAACATTCAGTGCTGGCAGAGCGTCCTGGAGAGGTGCTTCAGAGACTCACTGGGCTACCTCCTCCCTGAGGAAATTTGTCTTTTACCTTTTCCCTTTCTCTCTGTGCTCTTTTCTCCATGTTCCCAAAATACTCTCTTTTCAGGCTAGTTTCCGCTGGCCAACAACAATGAGTTTTGCGTCCTACACTCACATCTGCCTCTTGGGAAATGTTTTCTTTCTTACTTCCAAGTCAGAACCTATTTCCTTGGAAATGTTAATCTTAACTGGAAGATTGCAATCTAGTGTCTGTTTAAGGCAATTTAAATAGGTTTCCAAGTTTCTGAAGTATTTGCATTTGAAATTAGGAGTGGGAGTAGGGTGTTGGTATAACGGGTATAGTCCCTTTTTCTCCTCACTTCGGAAAGGTAACTAGGTGCTGGGCCAGTGGATGAGTATGCCAGTATTCTGTTAGGAGAAGAAAATGCTTGGCTTCTGCTCTGTACTGAACAGATTTATTAGTGCACAGTAGACATATGTGAGTCTTCAAATTTGAGAATTCTAGTTCCTGGGTTTCTCCTGAATCACATCCTCTAGAGATCATGCATGTTTTTGTATGTACTATCAAGCCATGACTTCTTCTTAACTTTTTTGAGATTTTAACTACTCTTTGTCCCTATACATGTAAAAAATTCTGATCACTTCATGAGCACTGTGGGTATGCAGTGAGGGATGTTGCATCATAAAGTTGACTTGACACATATGTCGGGTAATTATCTAGACTTGCTAGCTGAGGGCACCCTTATGCATGTATGGTTCAAGTCTCACCTTGTATGGGTGGCTAATTTCTGTTATCAATGTGAAATGAAATGGAGAGACAAATCTTCAGTGAAAGAACTTATATTTGGAAATAAAGGCTGGGACATACCTGCATAGATCTGGTTGCCTCTAAAGAATAAAAGAGAGTTTGGGGATTTACTAGAACAGAAATCTGTGCAACTTCTTATGAAAGAAGAGTCACTGACACTTTAGGTATTTGAAGGAACTGATAAGCTCTGCTTGGTGAGTTATGGCAGTTACTGTAAAAAGCTAGTCTTTAGGTTAGAGTTGGCAGTTCCGTCATCAGTGGCAAAGTACAGATCGTTTTAAAGACAGGACAGGCTGACTTACTACACTGATTGTGTGAGAGGATTCCTGAGGCAGGTGTCCATGACCTGAGCATATCCACTTCCTTTCCATGGCTTTTAGACTCTTTGTAGGTTTTGACAGGAATGGCTGCATTTAGTGTAATGGATTTTCATACTACATATGATAAGGTCACTTTAAGGTCATTCAGGAAAAGATACTTTCATCTTCTAATGTCAAAAGACTGTGTGTTAGTGTCAGTTTTTGATGTGTCAAAAAATGTAATTATCGGGGCTGGGGATTTAGCTCAGCGGCATAAGCGCCTGCCTTGTAAGCAGGCAGTCGTGAGTTTGATCCCTGGTACCGATAAAAAGGAAAAAGACAAAAAAAAAAAAAAAAAGAGAGAAAAAAAAATGTAATTATCTAATTGGAGTTTACAATATAAACAGGAGAATACTTCTAGTAAAAAATTGTAGAGAGAAGCCAGATTTGGTGTCATATACCTGTAATCCCAAATACTTACGAGGCTGAGGCAGGACTATCACAGATTCAAGGCCAGCCTGGGCAACTTAGTGAGACCATGTCTCAAGATAAAAATTAAAAGGTTTAGAGAGATACTCATGATAGTCTTTGCCTTGCATCCACAGCACCCTGATTTCAATGCCTAGTACTGGGAAAAAAAAGGTCACATGAGGAAGATGTGTGGGTAGATGGGGAATAGGAAGGATGACAGATTTGGTAGTATGCCACATACATCTGGAGGATGAGTGTGTGGAATTGGAATTTTCTTCACGTTAGGGGTAAACTGAGAACAACATAGTGGTTTTTCTTTCAGATTATTTTGTCCACAAGGATTAGTATATCTGAGTGAATTTTTTGTGAGATGGAAAGATCTCCATCTCTCTTAAGTTTCTAAGCAGTCTTCATTACTACCAATAGGATGAATCTACATGTATTCTGTTAAACTAGATCAGTACTATTATTTTAACTCAAATATTCTATGATCCTGCAAATAACTCTTTTAAAAATGTATTCTGTGGTCATGAGATGTGGAGAGGAAATAGTAATAGAGTTAGCTAACTTTGACACAGGTTCCCTATGATACTAGCAAAGTATAATGTTCAGGGAGTTTGAGAAAGGGAAGGAACTGAGTAAGGCAAATCTGAAATGGAGAGGGTGTCAGTTTAATAAGCCTTAAAAATGAGTTAGAAGTTAGAGAACTAGAGATTTGGAGGGGGTATTCTCTTTCAGAGGAAATTGTGACAGCAAAAGCTACAGGGGAGAAAAGATAGGAGATCTGCTTAGCCACTGATCAGCTCAGTAAGATTGGACTAGAGGCGCCATTGGAAGTTTCTGTGGAAGGGGTTGATATGATCAGCTCTGTGAACAGGGGTGACGGTGGATTTGAGAAATTGTCTAGATTTAGAGTTAAGTTGAGGGATGAGAAAGATGGCATTATCAAAGACTTTGGTGCTGTAGTTTTCGTCAGTGGTTGTAGTATTAATGGAAATAGAGAATATTGAGGCTGGGGAAAGATGCTAAGTGTGATTTTAGTCGTGGATGTCTTCAGGTACCTGAAAATGCCACATTAGATAATATACAAGATGTCTTTCAAGTAGTTGGCAGTCTAAGTCTGGATCTTAGGAGATCTGACTGCAGATTTTTGACTCTTTAACTTGTGGAGCTGGATTAAGTAATTCCCAAGTAGAATTTCAGAGTGATAGAAGAGAAAGACCAAAAGTAGAATTTAAGAATCAGTTGGGAGAAGACAAAAGAATGGGGAAGGGAGGCCCACAACAGAATAATTAAGGGAGAGTGTTGCTTCTGAAGCCAGAGAGAGAATGTGCAGCAGGGGGCTGGGCTTCAGCTGCTGTCCAGCAACTGCAGTGGGAACCAAGGTTTGGCATGGAAGAGTTACGGGGTGACTCCAGAGGATGCTTTCAAAAAGAGGGGGGCAGTAGCTGGGTTAGATTGAAAAATGACTGTGTTTTAAGCATTGGAAATAGCAAGACTATTATTTTTGAGGGGAAGAGAATGAAAGACACGTGTAATAATTTATGGAGTAAGAAAAAAAGATTTTGTTTGAGAAGGCTGGGAATTGAGTTAATTCATAAGGTGAGAATATGAGTTTAGAGTAGAAGAAAGGTTGAAGCAATATGTGTTAATAAAGTTCCAGAAAGAGTACACTCAATATACAAGCTGGCCTTGCACTGGGTAAAAGAGCACGATATTTCATTTATGTATCTATTTATTTGTTTTTGTCTTTTTCCTTTTTACCGGTATTGGGGATCGAACTCACGACTGCCTGCTTCCAAGGCCGGCTCTTATGCCACTGAGCTAAATCCCCAGCCCCTTTCATTTATTTATTTTGGCAGCTGGAGATCAAACCCAGAACCTTGTGCCTGCTAAGTGGATGCTATACCACTGAGTTATATCTCCAGCTCCAGCAGATGCCTAACAGAAATCTGAAATAGGAAGAAAGTGGATGATACTTTTAAAAATGTTTAGTTTTTCAAAAAACATTTTTTGGCATGTGTTAACACTTGCATCTTTCTTAACAGGCAGCAGCAGTTGCACTTTCCTCCCTGATTCATGCTTTGGATGAATTAGACATGGTGGCCATAGTTCGGTACGCTTATGACAGAAGAGCTAATCCCCAAGTTGGTGTGGCTTTTCCTTTTATCAAGGAGGCCTATGAGGTAAACCCACAGATCTTTTTTATTCATTTTTTTCTTTCACTCCTTTATTCTAAGCTGGACTTTTTTTTTTTTTTTTTTTTTTTTTTGCCTTTTTCCTTTTTATCGGTACCAGGGATCGAACTCACAACTACCTGTTTGCAAGGCAGGCGCTTATGCCGCTGAGCTAAATCCCCAGCCCCTAAGCTGGACTTCTTAACTGTTACTGTGCATGAGAACTCTTTGGAGATGTTAAAATGCAGATTCTGACTCTGCAGACCTAGGGTGGGGACCAGATTCTGTATTTCTTGCAAACTCCCAAGTGATGTTGACATTGCTGCTCTGAGAATGAGGACTTTCAGTTGTAAGAGAACTGTGAACTGTAAAAGTATTTAAGGAGCTTTTTATTAAGTCAGTAAAGGTGAACCATGACCCTCTCTCAGTTCTCATCCTGCTTGACTCCTTAGATCCAAATGGGAACAGAACTTGCCCCATTTTAATAAATAGGGACTGCGAATAAAGGTTGAAGATGTGATTTTGTGAAATTCAGTTTATTTGGGGCTTTTCTATTTAAAATACAGGTCTAGATTCCTTCCATTTCCTATTTCTGAGAGAACCTACCATGGCAGAACTGTAAAGAGAAGACAGATCCCTGGCTTCCAGGCACCCTGGCTTCTCTCACTTGTTCTACTTGGCCATGCACTTTATAATTATCATTTAATAGTCTTATTTTAAGCATTTCTTTTATGTGTAATATCCCTCGTAAAGTTTGATGTTTTAACTAGTCAATAGCAGAAATCAAAAGATTTTTCTTTTTCATGTGTTCAATTGGAGCTAATTTTTGAAATATTTCTGTTGTGCCACTTTCACATCATTTGGGACCGTTTTAATATTTTTCCATTAATTTGGTTGTTCCTACTTTTATCTCTTCTCTTTCCCATTAGTGTTTAGTGTACGTGCAACTGCCTTTCATGGAAGACTTGCGGCAATACATGTTTTCATCCCTGAAAAATAATAAGAAATACACTCCCACGGGTGAGTTTGTTTCTATTCAGCTCACTAATGACTTTACATGCAAACTGCTCTGGGGAAATTGCCTGGCTGCAGTCGTGAGTCAGGGTCAGGCTTTCACAGAATAGAATTAGGTGGACCCATATACAACACTCACCTCCAGTGACAGTGAAGGGGTCACCAGGTGTTTTTCCAGTACTAAGGATAGGTTTGCTCTAAATTTTCCAAACACTGCCTTACTCCACTTCTTCTAACTTGAGCATGTATGTAGGGAACAGCTTGTTGGTATGGGATCTTCATTTTCTAATTGTAAGCAGAAGATTTGTCCCTGCTGAAGTGGATTGGTATGTAGTGTCAAACCTGTGACTTTAGGGTCCTGCATATAATCTGAATATATTTGAAATGAAGGTGACAGTGATAGAGATTAACTTTTCTCCTTTCCTTCCTGTCTAGTTTACAGTGGCAATCAAGTCTTGTTATTTATTTCCAGTTGCCAGGTTACCCATGCTTGATGAGAAAGGCTGTTATTAAGCATTTGGTTGCAAATGTCGGGATGGTACTCAGTGATTCTCACAGCCACAGGTCCTGTCTCCCAGAGAGCTCACTGTTTAAGACAGTAGTGATAAAATGTGACAGGGTCAGAATGAAAAGAATAGTGATGATAGATGTTTTATAAATTTAAAGCTATTATCTGTGTCAGTGTAGGATTAGAGAGTTGTGAGGTGAGTCTCCAAACAGGGTCCTCCCTGAGTGTTATTTTGACTAGACCTTTGGGAACAGTGTGCTGTGAGAAGGCCAAGACTAAAACAAGCCCCTAGGACCTGTATCTTTCCTCCTTTTAATTGTAATTTTTTTTTTTTTTTTTTTTTTTTTTGAGACAGGGTCTCATTCTGTAAATCAGGCTGGCCTTGAACTCGCAGCAGTCCTCCGGTCAGCCTGGGATTGCTGGGATTACAGGCATGCCTGGCTTTACCTGACTTTCAGAGATGAATTCCTGTGCATCACAGTAGGGGCAGGCATGAGCCTGAATGTATAGAAGTTGTCACCATGTTGCAGTCTATCTCTTTCTTGACCATTCCAGGTTTAAAATGAGCAGAATATTGTAAAAGAAGAACTTTGTTGAGAAAGTATCTTACAGATAACTGTTTCAGGATCTAGAAAAACTTGAGTATCTCTTGATTGGTTGATCTGTGTTCAGTGAGTTAACGTATTTCTTTATATATATTCTCCAGTAGAAAGTAGATCCTTAAAGCTATTTGACGTATTTCTCAAGTTGATGTTTAGGTAGAGATTTGCATTGCCAGAGCAATTTTGCCTGATACTAGCTGGTAGCAGCAGGTGGGAACCACAGGATGTATGCATGTGCAAGACCAGCTCCTAGGTTTTGTCAGGTATGTGCTGTGCTAGTTATCTTAAAAAGGTGATAGCTATGCCGTTGCCTGAAGCTTGTGCAGCAAAGTTAAAAAACAGGAAAGATATATCCTCATGATAAATACTGTATTTTATTTTGTTACAGCTGTACAAAAGGAATATCTGAAAAAGTGAAAAATAGAAACATAAAAGTACCTTTCCTGAAATTACTTACCATTTACCACCTCATGCCTGGTAACTGAATCTAAAAACAGTGCTTCAGCTTGACTGCTGAGCAGTTTATAAATCAGCAGAATGAAAGTTACACATGGCAGCTTAGTTGGAAGCATTTTTGGGAGGTGTTGACTTTCATCCACATTGTTTTGAGCTGTGCCATTTTTGCTGATTTGGTAGATTTTTATTGAGGAGCACTTGCCTTCTGTTAAATTTTAGGAAAGACATTAAAAGAATGATGTGTTTCTGCCATCCTGGAGCTTTAGAGTTTGAACAGAGTAATGTAAGACATGTACACAGATGTGTATGTATGTAGGGTGCTTAGTGTCATGAAGCTTTGTAAGAGGAAAGGACTGATTCCGAGAGAAGTTTGTGAAGGAATCAGCTCGCTGTCATCCAGTTATATCTTCATGTTAAGGTTCTGGACATGGATAAAAATTGTAGTAAGTCTTTAGAAAGCTGATGCCTTATTACTAAACTTTCTTTTTAATATTTTTCTTTTAGATGATTACTAATTTTTAAAATATTAGCTCATTGAATGCTGAACATTTTGTATAAATTTCCATGGGAATGTTTTGTATGGTTTAGTGCATTTTTCTAGATCAAACTCTGTTTTTGAGATGCTACTCCATTGTCAAAGGTTCACTGAATGGTGGAGCAGAAAGGAATTTAAGAGATTAGCTATCTCATTACTCTTTTTACAGATAAAACAAGACTCAGGTTAAGTACTTGCATAACCAGAGATTATTTTTGGCAGAGCCAGGCTATCTAACCTGCTCGTGTTGCTGTATTTTAAGTGGAAAACATTCATTTTAATGAAGGATAATGGGAATAATAGTTTTTTCTTTCTGCTTCTTGTTTTAAGAGGCACAGTTGGATGCTGTGGATGCTTTTATTGACTCTATGAGTTTAATAGAGAAAGATGAAGAGGAAGACACTATCAAAGACTTGTTTCCAACTGCCAAAATCCCAAATCCTGAATTTCAGAGATTATTTCAGGTAAGAAGGGAAAGATAAACCAATCATAAAGTGAAAAGCTGTGGTCATCGGCCAATCCTGAATAAACATCTTTATCCTCTGACCCTCTGAGGGCCTCATCTGTTTTTTTTAGTAGAAGAATAAATTTTCTTCTTTCTACTTGAAAAGAACAAAATATTCTGAGTTTGCAGAAAGAAAAGTTAGAATCAATTTTTTTTTCTTTGAAGAAGCTTAGTTGGGAAAAAAAAGTACAGGAGGACTTCATAAAAAGCAGATTCTTCTATTATGTCTTTTCGGGTTTTTCTCCTGTATTTCTGTGTGAATAACTTTTTAAAATGAATAGCAAGAAAGCTCATGTGAGCTACATAGTAATATAACCATGATCAAGGAAACAGTGTTACAGTCCTGCATTGATCAGAAATTTCATAACAAAATGTAGAATAGAGGTCAGATAGTGAGCTTATAATGTAAAATTATTCAAGAGTAATAAAATATAGAAAAATGTAAAATGCAGTATGTGTTCTGAATCTTTGGCCAGGAGAATTAGAAAGTCGAGGGAATTAAGGTAAATTAGAGCATTTGATAAGAAAACTGAGTTATGCCCAGAAAAGGGAGGAACAGGCCAGAATTAAAGAAGAGAGAGTATCCAGCCCTGTTCTAAACTGATGATTGCAAAGTACAGGCTCTTGTGACCTCCACAAAACTGAAGAACACGAGAGGCAGCTTTCAGGCAAACTGTTCCCCACAAAGAAATGGTGGGCCCATGCTTGGGCAGGACAAGTGTTATGCCCACATCATGGACTGTGCATGTTGACTCACTTCATAAAACATCCATAACTAACCCAAGGCCCTATTGTGTCCTGCTGTGAATCAAGAGATCTTCTACTTAAAAGAAATTTCCTAATGCTTGAAATTTAAGTAGTGAAAAGAAACCATTGGTTCTGAAATTTTAGCAATATGAAAGAACACATAAAGCCCTGCCTTCGTGAATACTTTAGTCTCTAAGGGTAATCAAGGATAAATGGCAAATAGTTCCTTTGGTATTTTTGATGAATGGGACCTGAAGATTGTGTCACTGGAAGGCAGAGCAGTGGGAAATCTTTCTAGAACAAAAGAAACTTCTACTACATGGCAGATTTATCTAAAGTGGGCTGTATTTATGTTCAGTGAAGCTTTGCTGGAAGAGCCAACAGATACAAGTCATAAAGGCAGGCATTTTTATCTTTCAAGGCTTTGAGCATGGGTAACTTGGAATTTTTACAGTATTTGCTTTCTTTTGTTGAGAAAGAGAGTTTTTAAAATGAGTACATTTAGATTGTATATTTTCACTAGTGCATGTGCATATTTTGTTTTTTTAAAAAATTAAGTACTTTCTGAGTACTAGAATGTACCTTGTGCTCAAGATACTGTCAGCTTACTACCCTTGGAGAGGAAATAGTGGATCGTGGACAGATTCAATGCCTGAAGTTTCCTGTAGTCAGAAAACACCATGGCAATAAGAGGAAAAAGAGATTCCTACTAATACGTAGTTCAAGGAGACTTCTTTGAGGAGTTAACATTTGAACAGAGGCTTAAACAAATGATGATGTGATGAGACATGCTATGTAAAAGGAATAGCATATATGAAAGTGTGACAACATGAAGTTTATGGACCCGTAGGACAGAGGCTAGGTTCTCGGTGGGAAATGATGGAGAAGGTGGCAGGAAGGCAAGTGACAAATCTTGGTGTTTCACTCAGAAGTTGGGATTTTATGGTAGTAGGTAATCTTTAAAAGTTTTTATTAGCAGATGAATATCGGTTTCAAAACAAAGCACATTGGGGTTAGGGGTTTAGCTCAGCGGCGTAAGTGCCTGCTTGGCAAACGCTAAGTCATGAGTTCAATCCCCAGTACCAAAAAAACAAAACAAAACAAAACAAAAAAACCAAAGCGTGTTGGTGGCAGAGAAAGTAGACTGCAGTCAAGTTAAGAAACCTGCAGTGGCCTGCTCGGAGGCTTGAGTTGAAGCAGTGAAGAAGAGGTTATAGGGCAGTAGATTTTGAAGGCATACAGCAGGCAAAGGAGATATGATTTGAGAGATTTAGATGGTGGTTGAGGAGAGATGGAGAGAGATGAAAGATTGGGTCCTAGTTGGGGCTACTGAAAGGATAGCATCAATATTAATTGTGATAATGGGGTATAGAATGAGCAGATAGGATAATTTGTTTTTACAAATGTTAAATTTGAGTTACTTGTTAGCTAAGCCAATATAGATTCTAAATGAGAAGTTGGAAATGCAGAGCCCAGAAGAGAAGTCAGTCAAACATACAGTTTTAAGAAGCTTCCTCCTTTCGGTAAAAAGTGAATGGAATGGTCTGGGAGAGCCCATTGGGTGATAAGGACCTTAGGGACAACTGACCCTAAAATTTGAGTGGACAGTCAAGGATAGACAGTGAAGGAAGAGCTATGTGAAAAACAAAACGAAGCACGTCTTCTTCAAGCCCGCAGCAAAAGTCAGAGAAGCAGAAAGAAGTAGAAGCAATTAGTATCTTGGAAGACGTAGGAAAAGTGTCCAGGACAGAATCCCAGGGACTGCTTTGCACAGTGGTGAACAAAGGTGAGCGAGCGTGGCAGAGGCTGTGGGGCTGGACGCTGAGCCTTCGATGGCTGGGGCTGGCTGTGTCAGCCTGGCGTGGGGGTGGAAGCCAGAATGCAGTGCCCAGAGGGCTGTACTGCACGGGAGACCTGGAACCCAGGATGTGTTCTTTTCTTGTTTTAAGTATTTATAGCTGAGAGTGAATGAGCTGGGAGAAGGGAAAGATTAATAATCAATTTGTCAGTAAGAAAGTAATTCTAATTCTGGAATAAAATGCTTAAAAATGTCTCATTCCAAGAGTACAGTGAAAATCACCTTTTAAATATTCGATACAGTGTTCCTAAAAATCAATGTTAGTACCTTTGAGTTAGCCTGGGGGCTTATATTTCTTTCCCTAATCTTTTCAGAATTTAAAAAAATCACATTAAGCTGAAACAGCTGCTTAAAAGAAATAATAGATGAAAGATTGGGATCTCAGCTTCCCAGCTACTAAAAACTGTCACTTCCTCAGAACCCCATTTTAGGGTATGGGGGAGGAGGAACTGGGATTTTTTTTGCTTGAATGAGCTTTGTGTGTATCTCACTTAGCTTTGTTTAATCTAAAGTGCGACCTTTAAGAAATTAGGGAGAGATTGATGCTCCAGAACATCTCTTGTAGATCCCTCATTATTAACTTACTGGTAATAACACCATTTAAAATGTCTGAAATTCTTACCGAAAATCTGAGATGTTGCCAATTGGAACAGGGTAGAATATCTGTTCACTGGTATTCTAGTTCTTTCCAAAAAGTGTCAGTTGGGTAGCACAGGTAGATACTCTTCAGGAATATGTGAGAGGAAACCTACCAGGTTCTTTTGGACTTTGTAAGCTGAGCTATTTTAATGAACTTAGGGAGGACACTGTGAATTAAGGATTATGCACAAGAAGGTTATGGGCAGATTCAGAGGGCTTGCAAGTATTTGATTTTTCCCTTTGCTTTATACTGAAAAAGACTTGACTTTTAGGGAAAGTTAAGTATTAGCAAAGAAGAAAGGAAGCGTCAAACTCTGAAATGAATAAGTATGCCACAAGATAGTATAAGTCATAGACTTTGTGATAAGAAATAGTAAGTTTGAAATTATAGGAATGATTTTGGCTCTTAGTTTTTTTCTTCAAAATTGGTAATAGGAGTTTTCTTCAAAATTGGTAATTTTCCTCAAAATTGGTAATATGAATTTTCTTCAAAATTGGTAATATGAGGGATGTAACTCAGTGGTAGAGCCCTTGTCTCGCATGCATGGGTAACCACAACAAAGCAGCATCAGTATCAATAACAAACAAGTGGGAATAGTTGCAGCCTTCGTCTCCAGCCCGACTTTGAAATTAATTTCCGTCACAGGAAGGAAGCATAAGTGAACTGTTCTTTTTCTTTTCCTTTTTCCTGAATGGCATCTCATAGCTTACCTTTCTATGCTCCTATTAGGGTATTTACTTTCGTGGGCACACGCAAGTGCTGCCAGGTTCTGGCTGAGTGGATTGAGACCTTCCTGGAGATACAGAGGAAATACCGTCTTGACTGGTTCCACTCAGTGAGGAGTGGAGAGCCGGCCTTGGTCTTGAGCCTGGCGCCATGCTTGGTGCTGCTTCCTGAGATCTCTGTCAACAATAAGAATGCTGGGAAAGAGGACTGTATTCTTGCCATCAGTGGCTGTTAGGTGCTTATTATATTGTGGGCATGATTTTCTGGGCTTTGAGTTAACAATAAACAAGACAAGATCTCTACATTCAAGGTAAAGGGTTAGAAAATAAATAAGTAAACTAAAAAAAAAGTAAAAAGTTGATAAATAAGTCAGCTAAAAAATTTTAGACAATAAATGCTGTAAAAACGTCTGATAGGATAAACTGTGACTGGGTGGCAGGAGGGGCTACTTCATATATAGTATCAGAGAAGTTCTCTGAGGAAATACTATCTGAGTCTTTTGAGGAAAACCCAGAACAATAAATAAAAATAAATAAACAATAAAAATAAAAAATAAACAATAAAAATAAGTAAATAAAGGGCCAACTGCATAGAGGTCTAGGGGAGCCTGAAAAGGCACAGAGAGTGTTGAGCCCAGGATCTAAAGCAGGGTTGAACCTGGCAGGTAGTGAAAGCCACAGCTGCTTTTGATGGTTCCCTTCTAAGAGGTCTGCAGAAGGATTTGCTGCTGGGCCGGGGCCTGTTCCCAGTGGGTTTTAGAATCTTTAGCGTCGTGCTAACAAAGGTGACTCAGGGTCCGTACTCTGCCATGTCTTACATATGGTGAGTCACAGAGCCCTCTCAAACTAAATGTGGAGGATCCCTGACCAGAAAATATAAAGAAGCCATATATGTGCTATTCCCATTTGTCTGAGAATCCTTGTTCTTTTCCTTACAGTGTCTGCTGCACAGAGCTTTACATCCCCAGGAACCTCTGCCTCCAATCCAGCAGCATATTTTGAGTATGCTGGATCCCCCAACTGAGGTGACAGCAAAGTGTGAGATTCCTCTCTCCAAAATAAAGACCCTGTTCCCTCTGACTGAAGCCATCAAGCGAAAGGACCAAGTAACTGCTCAGGAAATTTTCCAAGACAAGTGAGTCCTGAAGGAAGTTGTATTTAAGATTTGTAGGCATCTTGGGGTGAGGTGGGGTGCTGGAGTAAAGGTGTTGCCCTTGTTTGTGGAATTACAAAGGAGGAAGAAGTCCTCTTGATGTCTGACCCTTCCTTGAAATAGTGGTTTTCATGTCTGTTCATTAGTCATGTTTTACCCTTGCTGTTCACTTGAGACTTGGGATTCTCTTCTGGGTCAGCATCAAATTCTTGGTGAATTATTCCCTGGGAGACTAAGCAAAATTTTTGAATAGGACTAAATTTTATCCTTTTTAAAGTAAGGAACTGGGGATGGGAGGAGTGGGTTGAAGGTTATGAGGTTTCTTTGCTGCAGAGGATAAGTGTCAGTGAGATTTTTGAAGAAACAGTAGAAAAGAGAATGAAAAATCCAGCCTTTCTTTAGTTGCTCTATCAGTGTGTTAGTGATGTACTTGCCTGTGAAATTAGGGAAGTAGTATACCATTAGGGAGGCATTTATTGCAAAATGCTTTTCATAGGATCTTTCAATCAAGCTTACAAGTAGCTATTAAGGTTTTTTCCTCATCAGATTCTGTTCAGAATCTGTATTACTTTCCATTCAAATGAAATAAAAATAAAGTCGGAGAAATTGTTTTTGATTATCCAGAATCATTTTAGGTATGTAACACTGATTTCACCAGGTTTTGGGCAACTGGTTTTTTCCTCATACCAGAATAATCTGTTCACTTTTTGTTGCCCTTGAGATCTGACTGAAGGTCTTTGTTTTTTTTTTCCCTTTAGTTTCCTTCCCTCAGCTGTATCTTCATTGACAAAGGGTACTCTTATTTTTTTTTTTATTTAAGATTAAAAAGACACAGAAAAGAAAAACAAAAAGCAATACAGACAGACAGACAACAAGTAACCAAATACAATAATAGTATAGGTTTACAAAACAGGAAGATAGGAATTTGACAATAGTTGTAATGTTGTGTATTATTACCTTCAAGAGGGTTGCTTAGATTAACAGATATAGACATGTAAAATTGGTCTAAACATGAGTATTCTTTCAAGTAACATACAATTGTAGTGTAGTCATTTTAGCTAACATATATATATATATATATACATATATATATATATATACACACACAAACACAAACTTACGTCTTTTCCTTTTTCTTTTTCCTCCTTTCCTTTATTCCATTACTTTTCCTCCTTGCAGTTTCTTACCCTTACACAGTATTCATTGTAGATTTTGGAACAGACATAATTTTTCAGTTAGTAAAGGGTATCCTAACCCCAGTGAAGAAATATTAAATGATTTCCAGAAACTTTCTCTAGTTTCTATAAATCATTGCTCAAAGTGTTATGCAAGTTGAATAGAAAGATTTGCATATTTTAGGGCTTTCCAGAGGTTAATACCCCAAGCTTTGTCACAAATGGAAAACAAAAGCATGTACTTGGCCATGTGCAGGCATGTATGCGATGGTGCCTGCCTGGAATGCCAGCACTTGAGAGACAGAGGCAGGAAAAGTGCTACAAGTTTGAGGCCAGCCTGGGCATCATAGTGAATTCAAGGCCTTCCTAAACTACATAGCGAGACCTTGTCCCAAGAAAGAAAAAAACAGAATCAAACAAACAAACAAAAAATCATGCACTCAGTAGCTTCCATCACATTCATTCCTAGTGGGTCCTTGGGAAGATTTACAGCTGTGCTTAGTCTGTCCCCACCTTCTCCACAGGAAGACTGTCCTTAGAAACGCACTGTCCTCTGCTGTCCTCACTAGTCTCCGCCTCTGAATCCCTAGTGTGGGCCGCTCAGTGCAAGTCTGCGACCTCTTCTTCCCATGATGCCTGGCAACCACAGGGCTATTCTCTTTCTCTCTCTGTCTCTGTGTCTGTGTCTGTCTCTCTCTCTCTGTCTCTCTCTCTGTTAAAGCTCTAGTTTATGATTTTGATTATCTTCTGGTGTTGTGGGAAAGAAACAGGCCATTCTCTCCTCCTCCTTTGATTAAAATGTAAATTAGCTGGTTAAAAACATACACCACAGAGTCCCAGAACGCTGTGTTCTGTGATTTGATCCCTGCTGTGATTACACCTTTAGCGTAGTCCTATCTCTCACTCTTCTGGAAGCTTCTGTATGCTGGGCTTTCATAATGCTGTGTGACAGAGCCAAGTTATCTACCTGGGGCCTGGAAATTATCAGTCACATGCACCTACTCACCTACCTGTTTTTCTGTCTTCCCTAGGTATTAGATTTTAAGAACTATAGAAATGACACATTTAACATATATTTACTGATACCTCATGTATTCAAGAAGAATGATTTAGTCCCTTCACAGTTCTTAAAACCATCCATTTTTTATGAGAAGGCTTCAATCAGCCTTAAAGGTAATTTCTCTAAGGGAGAAAATGTTACTATTGCCGAGTTGTATCATTCATACGTGTTTTGTTTTTCTTCCCCATCGTCCCTGTACCCAGGGTACATACTTCCTGGCATGGGGCAGAGGGACTAAGATTGGTGATGGCAAATGCCCAATACTAAGGTAACACGAAGCTGTGTTTTTGAGGCTATTTGTCATCCCAGTATTCAGAGTAAGTGTTTCCAGTGGGGAGGGGTTAAGTTGGGAAGTGGCATGTGTCTACACAGGGAATTTCATAGTCAGAGACAGAGTCCCGAGGGTAGGACTCACTAGTCTTCATTCTAGCTTTGTTACTGTTGTTTGGAACTTGGTTAAATAATTTTACCTTTATGAGAGTTTCTTTACCTACAAACAGCCTTATCTTAAGAGATAAAACAGTGAAGTCACATATATTAAAACACTTTAATCTATTGGAAGAGAAGGCAGTAGTCAGAGCTCACACAGTTATATTATCATTATCAGTGAAAAGGCTGAACATTTTGAGAATGCCTGATACATGTCGTGGACTTGGTGAATACCTAGTGTTAAAAGTGGTTTCTTCATTTCAAGAGGCAAAGAGCACTGTTTGATGCTTCAGTTTCAGGGCGTACTACATATTACCCATATCACATAAGTGCATTACTTCCTATAATGTTGACACACACCCTAGAAATGAAAATGTCAGAATTAGGACATCAGAGGTCTAATCCTGCATGTGCAATGGATGAGGTTTGTAAGTAAAAAGTTTTAAGAATCCTAATTATGTTCCTAGTACATTCGTAACGATGACAACAATGGTAATGATAGTAGAAATGTTTTTGTAGAGAATATAGAGACAGATTGGTGGCAGTGCCTCCGTTTTCTGGCCCATCTTACCTAAAAGCAAGTCTGTTTTACATCTGCCTTTACTCTGTGCCTATCTCAGTGGCGTAGGGCACCGCATCTTCTCTGAAGTTACCCCTTCACATGTGCCCCGAGCGCCCATTTTCTGTCTCATCTGGTACCTTAGTCCACTGATAAAGGCTTCTGACGTTCTATTTTCAACTTTTCCCTTTACCAGCTCCTTTCTCTTCTTATCTAAGATAAAATAAAATGCCCCCCACCTTGTTCCTTCCAGTTACTGCCTGGCACTAATTATTAGGTTCTAATTATTATCTTGCCTTCCACAGGCCAGGCTTCTGAGAAGCAAATTCTCCATGCTGCCTTTCTCAGCTTTCAGTCCCCTCTGTGTCTCCCACAGAAACTGGTCTAAGACATGCAGTGCTCTGTTCCCTCCAGCTGTGTAGTCCTTTTCTTTTATGACATTTTTCTTTGTAGCACTTGATCTTGTCAAGTAGTCTTTCCCTGTTAGAACCCACATATCTTCTTAACTTTGGGCAGCACTCTCTCTGAAAGGGGCTGTATGTCCTTCCCCGCCTGCCTTAAATGTTCATGTTCTTTAGGGCTTGTCCTCAGACAAGCTTACTTTTATTGAACACGAGTATAATGCTGTTTTATTGTTTTTTTTTATTCCTGTGTCTAGTTACCTGAGCAACTATTTTGAAGATAACAATATGCAGTATAACAACCATTGTTAAATTCCTATCATCTTGCTTTGAAATCCTGTATCACTGTTATTGTATTTTTATTGTCATCATTGTTTGGTTGTTGTTGGTTTGTTTGCTTTGCTTCTTGATCTTTCTTTCTTTCTTTCTTTTTTTTCCTCTTTAAAGGAAAGATATAGTGCTGAGTGCTTTACCTGCATTATCTGTTTGGATCCACTTGGCCAGCCTATGAAATAGGTTGTTGTAGTGACACCATGTTAAAGCTGAGGAGACTGAATATTAGGGAAGATGAAATCCCAGTTGGCAAATGTTGGAGCAAGGATTTATATGCAGGCAGTCTGATCCCAGAGCTTGTACTCTATACTTAGCAATGCATGTCCCAGGATCTTTTATTATTATTATACATATAGAGCTTCAAAAACCATAGAATATCTTTCTGCAGCCTAGATTTTCATGTTGCCCACAGGTAAGTGTCTAGAGTTATTTCAAGTTCATTTATGTCCAGAAATACAAATGCATGGTCTTTCTCCATGCCCCTTTCAAAGTCCACTTAAAAGTTACAGAATCTGTTTCAGTGAACATCATCTGATTTCCTGGAGGTCATCCTTTTCTTTAATTTTCTATATCTAATTGGTTTTCTAAACTACTAAATTTGCCTCAAATCCACGTTTTTCACTTCAGGTCAGTATAGTGGCTAATAGCATTGATTGTGGAGTCAGATTTGGATCTAAACCAAAACATTTCTCCTTAAAGTGGTGGAAATTGGCAAGTTGCTGTTACTGCCGACATAGGTAACAAATACCTGCCTTCGATGAAGCTTTATTTGCTCATCTATAAGAAAGATAATAGATTGTTGCAAGATTTAACATAGATAGTCTAAATGTGCCTAGCATTGTGACCAGCACTTAGCTCTTAATAGCATCACTCACGGGCATTATTTTTATGTATGTCTCCTTACTTTACCCTGCTTCACTGAGATAAATAACTTCGTAACTGACTTTTTTCTCCTTCTATTCTGTTCTGCTAGCTGAGTGGCTTATTTTTCATATTTGTCAATTTTTTATGAAAGATATTACAAA